CTGGCTATTTTTTTGTTGCAGTTTGGCCGAGGCTGGGTTTGAACCCACCATCCTTGGTATATGGGGCTGGTGCCCTACTCCCTGAGCCACAGGTGCCACCTGAGTTTTTATTTTAAAGACAGTGTTTTGTTCTTGCCCAGGCTGGTCTCGAGCTCTTGAGCTCAAAGATCTGCCTGCTGGAGCCTTCCAGAGGGCTAGAATTACAGGCATGAGCCACTGGCACCTGCCTGGCTGGTCAGTTAGCAGCCATATTGATGGCTGCTAACTGGTCAGGGTGTTGGTTGCTGAAGGTTGGGGGTGGTTATAGGAATTTTTAAAAGTAAGACAGTGAAGTTTGCCACATTTATTGATGCTTTCACAAGATATTTTTCTAACATGATGCTGTTTGATAGCCTTTACCCATAGTAGAAAATTGGAGTCAAGCTGGGCATGGTAACTTACACTTGTAATCCCAGCACTTTGGGAGGCCAAGGAATTCAAGACCAGTTTAGGCAACATAATGAGACTCCCATTTGTACCAAAAAAAATTGCTGGGCAACTCTTCCTTTCACTTGAACACTTAAAGGCCATGGAAGAGTTATTAATTGGCCTAATTTTGATATTTTCTCTGTCTTATAGAATAGGGAGGCCATAAGAGAAGGAGAGAGATAGGAACAGCTGGCCAGTGAGTGGTCAGAACAAACACATTTATCAATTAAGTTTGCTGTCTTTTAGGAGTATGGTTCATGGCACCCCCAAATAACTACAATAATAACATCAAAGATCAATGATTACAGATCACCATGACATAATAATAAAAAAGTTTGAAATGCCTGTAATCCTAGCACTCTGGGAGGTTGAGGTGGGTGGATCACTTGACCTCAGAAGTTTGAGACCAGCCTGAGCAAAAGCGAGACCCCATCTCTACTAAAAATAGAACAAACTGGTGGCTCATGCCTGTAGTCCCAGCAACTGTGGAGCCCGAGGCAAGAGGATAGCTGAAGCCCAAGAGATTGAGGTTGCTGTGAGCTATGAAGCCATAGCACTCTACCCAGGGTGACAAAGTGAGACTCTGTATCAAAAAAAAAAAATCCTCTTGCCTCATTTTTTTTCTATTTTTAGTAGAGACTGGGTTTTGCTCTTGTTTAGGCTGGTCTCAAACTCATGAGCTTAAGCAATCTGCCCACCTCAGCCTCCCAGAAATCCTGTTAAGCCCAAGAGTTTGAGGTTGCCATGAGCTATGATGATGCCACAGCATTCTATACAAGGCAACAATGTGAGACTCTATCTCAAAAAAAAAAAAATTTAAAATACATGTATTGGATGTATTATTGCTAGGATTATAGGCATTTGTGCTACCGTATCTGGCATTTCTTTCTTCTTTTTTTTTTTTTAGGACAGTCTCATTTTGTCAACCAGTCTAGAGTGCCATGGCATCAGCCTAGATCTAGCAACCTTAAACTTCTGGGTTCAAGCAATCCTGCCTCAGCCTCCCAAGTAGCCGGCACTATAGGTGCCTGCCACAACATCTAGCTAGTATTTTACATTTTATTTTATTTTATATTTTTGAGGCAGAGTTTCAAGCTGTCCCCCTTGGTAGAGTGCTGTGGCATCACGGCTCACAGCAACCTCCAACTCCTGGGCTCAAGTGAGTCTCCTGCCTCAGCCTCCCAAGCAGCTGGGACCACAGGCGCCCACCACAACGCCTTGCTATTTTTTTGGTTGCAGATGTCGTTGTTTTGGCGGGCCCGGGCTGGATTCGAACCCACCACCTTAGGTGTATGTGGCTCGTGCCATAGCCACTTGAGCCACAGGTGCCAAGCCAAGGCTGTTGCATTTTCATTGGACTGATTAGGAGGAGAGCGTCTTGAAATCCCTGATAGCCAGAGTCAACTCATTCTCAGATTACAGGTCCATGTTATAATGAAACAGTATCATGTCAACTCTAATAGCCATTCTATAATAGCATTAATTCCTGATTAAAGTATTTCTCTTGGAAGGGAAGGTGCCCCAAATAATGAAATGTGAGCCACATTACAAGGGAAAATGCTTATCTCAGAATCAGCTCTAAAGCCAGGTATAGTGACTTACACCTGTAATTCTAGCACTTTGGGAGGCCAAGGTTGGAGGACTGCTTGAGGCCGGGAGTTCCAGACCAGTATGAGCAACATAGTGAGACCCCTCTATCTACAAAAAATTAAAACAATAGCCAGACATGGTAGTAACACTTGTAGTCTTAACTACTCAGGAAGCTAAAGCAGGAAGATCACTTGAGCCCAGGAATTTGAGGTTGCAGTGAGCTATATACTCTAGCCCATGTGACAGAAAAAGACCCTGTCTCAAACAAACTCTAGGATTGCTATAATGGCTGCCATTATTTTCATTTGGGCAGTTTGTCAATCATAAAAGATCTTTATTAATGGCATCTCAATCTAGCAAATACTATCACTCAAAAGTATGTTAGGGGACTGATTAATTTTTTTTTTTTTTTTTTGCATTTTTTGCCCAGGGCTCGGTTTGAACCCGCCACCTCCGGCATATGGGGCTGGCGCCCTACTCCTTTGAGCCACATTTGTCACCCTGATTGATTTATATTTATTTAAAGACAGGGTCTCACTCTGTCACTCAGGCTAGAATGTAGTGGCCTCATCACAGCTCACTGCAACCTTTAACTCATGAGCTCAGCTTATCCCTCTGGCTTCAGCCTCCTGAGTAGCTGGGACCACAGGCTTGAGTCACTGTGCCTGGTTGTGTGCATGTTCTTGAAAGCAGAGACATTAATTTTCATCATTCAAG